CATTTAAACTATAACTGAATGTATTTAAAGAAAGAGCAACTTGCTCAGTAAACCATTTAAAAAAAAAAAAAAAGTTTAGTTTCCCCCCCTGCTGTACCGAAATCATACCGAACCGTGACGTTAAAACCGAGGTACGTACCGAACTGTCATATCTGTGTACCGTTACACCCCTACTATCTATAGATATATTTTTAATGTCTGTAAGACAAAGATATACTCGGAGTTTCACGCTCAAGTTTACAGACCGAGACGGCAGAAAGCGCATCATGTTGCTTTCATTAAGAAATCATCAGAAATTATATATCAATTGAAAACTTTAAATCTCAAAATTCATCCTTTGAAACCCATTTTAAAATCAAACATTGCATTACCATGAAAATGGTACATCAATATCATGTTACAAAATGTTTTCGTTCATGAATTATAAAAATTTAAGTTTGGATCGTGCACTTTCATGTCTGTTCAAAAATGTGAGTGACAGTTAAGGGGTTTTAAATTAGCTTTAGTAAAGCAATTCATTTTATTCTAAATTGTAATGCTATTAAACATAAATACATTTGTGATGTTGAAAATGACACTGTGGTGAACCATTTTCATTACTTTTCCAAGAGTCCTGAGGGCTAAAATAGTGTTTTTAATTGTTTTTGTTATTAGTTTTTTTGTAATTGTGCCAATATTGACACAGTTTGAAAGTCGTTTACTCAAAATCACCATTTGTGCATTTCTCTTTAAACAACTTGACACCCAATAATGACTTCCAATCCAAAATTCTTCAGTTTTCATTAGAGAAAAAAAGGTTATTAGTTTTCAGAAAAAATGTAGTGAAGTTAGTTGCATTGTCACTTTTACTTTGTCACTCCCCACACAGACTTTCACGAAGGTGTCCGTGCTGAGTTGGAATGTGTTTCCTTTATTCCAGGGTGAGCCGGGGCTGATGGGATTACCAGGTCTAGAGGGGCTGCCGGGTGCTAAGGTAAGCGCATTTGAATGAATCGTGTCACTGGACGCTCTCTCACCCTGTCTGAGTGTCCCAGATTACACACAGCTTTCAACAGCTCAACCAGCCGTTCCACTCTGTACCTTCACGATTTGACATGACATTGCAGTTTTGGCGTGTGTGTGTGTGTGTGTGTGTGTGTGTGTGTGTGACAGACAGAGAGATGGAGGATAGTGCACAGACATTCATAATTGATTCAAACATTGTTAGTATTCTAATTTCACCGCAGTGCTTAGTCAAAGCACTCGAGAATTCAACAGAAAGACCATGAATACAAGAATACTAGAGAGGGTAGAAATAATAGGCTTCATTAAATCGAGCCCACAGAATGGTCCAGACCCCCCCCGACTGCACGTATCAGAGCGCTGGTGCATGGAGACTCTCTTTCGTCTGTCTGCCAGAGCAGCTTCCTCCTTTGAGCGGCATCAAACTCGCCCACTCTTCCCAGAAAGGACTTGTCAAGATGTAGTCGCAGCATTTTGCGCGCTCGCCGACTCCACAACAGCCACGAGGCTGCCTGATCTCAAGCTGTTTATTTGCATGCTGTGCCCCAAAACTTAAAAGCAGCTCATTAATTCCTAAAGCCAGCAGAGCGCATATGGAGGAAAGAGAGCAGCTCTCACACACACACACACACAGAGATACTCAAAGATTTTGGAGGACTTGTCAAGCACAGTTGGTTTTGAGAACAGAAAGAAAAACAATCATTGTGTTTTTCTGACATGTTCTCAGGCGGTTTTGCAGTAGATTCGTCGTCTTACATGTGTGTGTTTGTGTGTTTGAAGGGTGATCCTGGCCTACATGGTCCACCTGGTGTTCCTGGTCCTACTGTAAGTTATTCTGTTGTTATTTTCCTGCTTTCAAATTACTGTACTACACATACAACTATTTATTATTTAGGAAATAAGCTACAAGCAATAAGATAGTTAATAAGTAAATGGCACAATACAGAGCCTGCAACCCCTTCAGAATTCACTATTGTCAGTTTTCACAATATTAATGGCAAAAATGTTAATGAAAACACTATTTTGTTAAGTAAATTCAAGAAGTGCCATCCTTCTCATAGAATAAGGATTTTTAGTTGGGTGTGCGTCAATTATGGTTTGAAGTTTTTGTGAATAAGTGAAAATATGATTAAAAATAAGCAGAATACATTAAGATAACTTGCATAGCTAAAGGTGGTAAATGTTTTATTGTAAAATTAAAGTTTAACCCATCGACCAATGTTGAATATTGTTCATACTTGTTTCCCATATTTTTATATTGAGTTTTATATTAATTATTCAATAAATACTAATAATTTAATAATACTATTAAATGTAAGCTTTAGCCAATCTCAAAGTAAATGTCCAATTTCCATTCTATACATTATACTTTTTTGATGCCAAAATTCGCTTGTAGCATTTGAAGTATTTTTAATTAATTTTATTCTTTATTTATTTACTATTTTATAGTAATTTATTTTCTAGTGTTTTATGTATTTTCCAGTGTTTATTTTCTAGTGTTTAATTTTATTTAGAATAAAGTTCAACCCTATATTATAAGCTAGAAGATATACTTCTGTCTCTGACATGTACAATACTGGACTGTAAAATACTTATTTTTAGTTGTGTTGGATAAGCATATTTAATGCAACTGTTCCTATGGGATTTTCTTACATTGAAGCTGTGACGGTTTAGTGGTCTGTCACAAGCTAAAGGTTTCATATCATGTATGAATTTTTAGATAAAAGTAGTGGATGTTTTAGCCATGTTCTCAGCCTACATGTGGTTTAGATGGACACCAGGTTTGAGGTCTAACTCTTTCTCCTTGTCGTTTCTGTAACTGATAGGGAAAGCCTGCTCCGCGTGGAGAGCCAGGGATCCCTGGAGAGCCGGTGAGATTTGCTTTGTTGCTTGTTAGCAGCTGTCAGTCATACGGCAGGTTTTGGCAACAGAATGATGATGTCCCATTTTCCCTCTTTTGTCTTTCCACACAGGGAGAACGAGGGCCTGTGGGAGAGACTGGCTTATAAATACATTTAATATATAAACATAACATATTATATATATATATATACATACATAATAAATATACACAGTACACACACACATATTATGTACACAAACTTTTATTTTGGATGCAATTAATCACAATTAATCGTTGCCCAGCACTATTTATAATTATTATTAGTAGTAGTATTGTTTGTTATTAATATTAATATTAATAAATGATACTTATAATTACAAATGATTCCAAATAATTAAAATAATTTATGATATTATGATATATATAAACCTAAAGAGAATATAACTATATGTAATTGTTTTTTGTTTTTTTGGTCAAAAACTGAGGCTGTCAATATAATAGTATAACTGCGATTGGACTGTAAAATACTTATTTTTAGTTGTGTTGGATAAGCATATTTAATGCAACTGTTCCTATGGGATTTTCTTACATTGAAGCTGTGACGGTTTAGTGGTCTGTCACAAGCTAAAGGTTTCATATCATGTATGAATTTTTAGATAAAAGTAGTGGATGTTTTAGCCATGTTCTCAGCCTACATGTGGTTTAGATGGACACCAGGTTTGAGGTCTAACTCTTTCTCCTTGTCGTTTCTGTAACTGATAGGGAAAGCCTGCTCCGCGTGGAGAGCCAGGGATCCCTGGAGAGCCGGTGAGATTTGCTTTGTTGCTTGTTAGCAGCTGTCAGTCATACGGCAGGTTTTGGCAACAGAATGATGATGTCCCATTTTCCCTCTTTTGTCTTTCCACACAGGGAGAACGAGGGCCTGTGGGAGAGACTGGCTTCCCTGGACCTGAAGGGCCTCCTGGATCCCCTGTGAGCAATCGTAGCATTCATTACACCTGTAATCTGCAGTGTGCACTAATGAACACCTGCGTGTAAACTGCAGCAGGGCTTTTCAGATGTCTTTATGATAGGACCCACAAATATCAGAATCTTCTTGTGAGGGACATCTTAAAAAATATATAAAAGCCTCTCTAAATTGGCATGCTTCTGTATATTTTCATAGACCAATATATACTATGTGAGGAAAAATTATATTTAATAATAATAATAATAATATTTATTATTTATATTTTAAGAATTATATTTATTATTTACTTAATATTTGCACATTTGTTATTGAAATATATTATGAAAATATAGTTATTTATAATTAGCGCTGGGAAACGATTAATCACGATTAATCTCATCCAAAATAAAAGTTTTTGTGTACATAATATGTGTGTGTACTGTGTAGGTTTAT